GCCTTACCCTATTGAGCTTCCCTTAAGCTTTCTTCTTAATGCTGTATTCCATATGCATTTTCCTTTGGTCCTCCCAATGTACAGTGAATGGCCTCAGGCTTCCTATACATCTGAAACACTGCCACCTTGAACCTATTGGCAAATTCACTAAAGTTGATCACAGTCCTCTGAAGGACTGGGCTCTTCTACTAATTCTCACATCTCTCACTGGTCACACTGCCTAAGCTCACCCTGCAGTAGCTTGTGCCAACCGGGCCAGCTCAGTGATGTCGGCATCGACACCTCATCGAATATTGTACCTCTGCAGATGTGGTTACCCAGGCTTCTTCTTGTGCTCTGAAAAAGCCTGAATTTTGCACAGAAGAATAATGCTTTGAAATGTTCTTTTAATGCCCCAAACCCAACGAATCTCAAATTCCTGCTTCTCGATTGCTTCTTTCTGCCACACATTTCTCTCATCCTCACAGCCACCAACTCCTTAAGAGTTACTCAGTTTAAAGATCTTGACAACATTGCAGCTTACAGCAGAAAATACCAATACAAAAGGCCTTCAAGATTTTTATGTTCATGACTCTGATGTGAGGATTTTAATTACAAAATTATCATGAATCATTAAAGTCACTGTGCAGTTTTAAATTGAGGAGTATTGTTTTGGAATTACAACAATGGAGCACTTAAAACAGAAAGAGCAGGGGCTGGGGAAATAGCTCCCTGGTCTAAGCACCTGCCTGGTGATAGCAAGGAGCCAGTTCAATCCCTGGCACCACATCCCGTGCGAGCCCCAGAATCTGGGGGGAGCGGTGAGAGCCCCAGAAACTGGATGTGGTGGTGCACACCTGTAATCCCAGCACTGGGGAGGCTGAGACAGGAGGATCGCAAGGAGTCTGAGCTACATAGCAAGACCCTGTACCAAATAATCAATTAAGTAATAAAAGACATTAAAAAAAAGAAAGAAAGAATAATGGGAAGATAAAACAGAAACACAAGTGGGCCTCATTGCCGTGGTCTATACTTTGAATGTGGTTAGTCTTCTAAAGTTTCATGTGTTGGAAACTTGCTCGCCAATGCAGGGCATTAAGAGCTATGGAAGCTTTTAAGAGCTGAGCCTAGAGGACGATTAGGTCACTGCTCTCTAGAAGGTTTTCTTTTATTTATAAATTACCCAGCTTCGAGTATTTTATTATAATGGCACAAAAGAAACTAATACATTGAACTAACTTTTAAGAATTGGTTTTTTGTTTTTTCAAATTTTTAATTTTTCTTTTTATGTATTTGGTTGTTTCAGGGTCTCACTATACAGCATGGACTCATGGTAATCCTCCTGCTTTCAGCCTCTCCAGCACGAGAATTACAGATGTGCACTACCATGTCTTCATGTTGGCAGGCTCAGCTTGCCCTGCGAGTGGGACTGGCACAACATGTGGGGCAGGGGATCAAACTGGGGTCCTTGACCTTGCCTGCACTTGCCTAAACATGCGCTTTAGTCCACTGAGCTATCTCACTGATTTTTCAAATGACACAATGAATGAACGTAATCAAGAGCAATAAAAATAATCATAAATTTTCTTGTACTTCATCAGATACTATTGTTTTATCTTTTATTAAGTTAGTGTTTCTCACATCCTAAAATACATGAAAGGCCATGATGAAAATATAAGATAAGTATAGAGAGAAGCAGGTAACACTTGCACTTGTACTTTGGATTTTTTTTTTTAAACTCGGAATAGAACACAGGGCTTGCCAGGCAGGTTCTATACTGCTGAGCTACATCTTCACCTGCCTTCTATTTTGCCTTTTTAACTGTTTATACTTTGTATGATTTCTAAGGAAAATGGAAAACTTTCAGAAAGGAGCCAAGATTATCGAACAGTTTCAGCAGAATAACCCACATGACAAGGTGCTACACAGAGAGGAGGTCCAAACATTTTGCTACATATCCCCTTTAAAAATTTAGCATGCTTCATACGGGTACACACTAATATTACACGCTTGATTGTACTGATATATGTTGCAAAACAGAAGATACACAAAATAGAAAATCATTAACTGCTAAAATTAAATATATGCAAATATAAGTTTTCTTTCTTTAATTCAAAAGATTTTCATGTGCTGTCTGGAATGAATTCTATACTGGATTCTAAAAAATTCAACTTTCTAAGTTTTCCTTGCAGTCTTAAGAAAAGTTAAAAAGTTCAAGACTTAAGCCCTTGAAATTTAATTGACAATTTTAAAAGGATTGTGGCTTAATGTAAAATGTTTGAATGCATATATATGCTGCAGTTAGCCTGAAGTGGATTTCCTTATCTGAATAGCATTTACAGAGAAATAATACTTTGCTGATAGTAGAGACTTTGGATACAGGAAGTATCACCCTCCTGTGGGGTAGCACAGGCAGTAAAATCAGGGGCTGCTTTTTATTTATTTATTTTTTTAATGTGTTTGGTACAGGGTCTCACTAAGCTGCGTAGACTCTTAGCGATCCTGCAGCCTCTCCAGCACTGGGATTACTGGTGTGCACGACCACACCCAGTTGCGGTGGCTCAGTGCACCAGGTGCGGGCGCACGGCCTGGGATGGAACCTGGTCCCTGGGCTTGTCTAAGCAGGCGCTTCCTCCTCTGGCTCCAGGGCCTGCTTTTGCAGGTCCTATGCAACATGTTTTTGGAACTTGGCTCTCTTAAGATAGATGGCCAAAGACCCCACTACTGCCGGTGTTTGTTTGTTTTTGTTTTCGGGTACCGAGGATCGAACTCAGAATCTTGCACTTGCCAGGCAGGTGCTTATGCCACTGAGCTATTTTCTGAGCCCCACCCCACTACTTCCTACCAGTGAGTTTTTTTCCTTCAGCAGCAGTGCCGAGGGAATCTTCTGGATTTGTTTTTACCACACAATACACTGGGTCTAGGACAAAGTTTAATGAATAAAACAGTCAAAAGAAACATTTCCCTTTGTGTGCACTACTAGCCACACATAGTTTTATATTATTAATATTAACCGTAAGTAGGCATTACACAAGCATGATAGATTGTTTTCAAGCCACTGCATCCAGATGACATAACCCTTAAAGCCAGGCTATATCCTATTACATTATTATTTTTCTTCATCATTATTCCTCAGACATTCGGACGTCTAGCTGTATCTCTGTTCGGCAACAGGTCTGATGAACTTGCTACCTGACACTTCTGTCCCTGTGTGGCAACCTCCACCTACTGACTTTCTACAATTGCCAAAGGAAGTCAGCCGAATAAACAACTTGCTAACAAAGCTGGAAAAAAGAAAATCAGACCTTTGACTTCATACAAGTGTCATCATAGAAACAATTTTCTTCTCTTTCTGATTCCTCTCTTTCACCTACTTCACAGGAAGTTTGGCTAACACAGAATGTAACAACAGTGGAGGGAGCAGAAAGGACACAGTCTTACAAACGAAGGCTTTGCCTAAGAATGTTTATTCTCCAGAAGGAAAAAAAAAAATCCCCATAAAACTTTTTATCCAGGGAAGATCTGATCTGCGTACCTATTAAAACTGTTATCTAGCTCCTGCTTGTACATGCTTGCAAACAAGCGGGTGTAACTTATCTCTAAGGACTTTTCCGATTCCAAGCCTGACTCAAAATTGGGGGGTGGAGGGTTGGAGTCATTTTCACCAACATTCTCAACGCCCTCCACCCTTGCTGTAACCAAAAAAAGAAGAAAGTCGGGAGGAAGGAGAAAGAGAGGAAGGAAAACGAAAAGACAGAAAAAGAGAAGCGCTGGCCCTCTATTTCACACTCCATTTCTGGAATGACCTACTTCTGCCAGAAGAGAACGGGCGCTCTAAGGTGTGCCAGCAGGCTGAAAGGGGCATAAAATACTCCCACCCGAGACCACGCCGGGGTGGCCAGAGCAGCGCGTTTGCTCTCCGGCACACCCAACTCTGCACCTAATTCTGGAGGACTTCGAATCTGCCCTTGGCCCTGAGAAAACTGAGCGAGCCAAGCACCTCGACCAGAAGAGACTGGAAAGGCAGGTCAGGCCTCCAAGCAGCATTTCCAATGCAGGTGCCACGGGGGCGGGCAGGCGTGAAGTCTCCGGCTTACTCTAGGTGACAGGGACACAGCTGGCGCTGAACAGGCACATTAAATATACAGCAGCGTCGTTTGGTCCCGGGCCCAGCCCCGGGCCGTGGCGCCCGGCCATCCGTCTCCGCCAGCCAGGGCTTGGCCCGGGCTCCCGCAGCCGGGAATGGCCCGCAGCGCGCGGCTCACACCTGTTAGGCGCTGCTGCCCTCCGCGGCTCCGCGCAGCCCGAGCCCTCCGCACGGCCGGCGGGCTGCAGAGCGCGGGGCGCTGGCCCACGAGCCCGGCCGTCTTCCCCGGCTGCCCCCGGCTAGGCTCGCGC